AACAAAATTCTCATGCATTTTTGAAACCTAAACACACAATAGTATCTAATATCTGAACTTTGAAACCTATATATGAGATTGTATAATGCTCACATATTCACATACATAATATCTAAATATTGAAAGCAAGCGTACAGATTTTTCAATTCATCAAATATTTATATTTCTAGCATCTCTACCTTTCCTTTTACATTTATGCCACCCAATCTTCCATATCACATCAAAATTATTCAGTTGTATGTGAATACATACAAATTATGTGGTATGCATGTAAATTGCCCCTAATTCATTTCATTGCTAGCTCTATGTATTTTATTGGAATGGATACTTCTGATGTTTTGATTTATTAAAACTGCATGCGACATTGCCTGTAGGGGAGATTCCTATGCAATAATTCATGAAAAGTTGTGATGCCCACATTTTTATAAAAATCTGAAAGTTTTCATTTGGAAAAATTAGGAGAAATTTGATGCTTTACTTTTACAAAAAAGAACCTGAAAGTTTACGTCATATTTGGAAAGTGTGGAGAGCTTCCATGTTACATGTGGAGAAATCTGATGCTTTACTTTTACAAAAATCTGAAAATTTACATGTCACGTTTAGAAAGTGTGGAGAGCTTCGATGCTTTTCTTTTTACAAAAATCCGAAAATTTCCTTGTTACATTTGAAAAGTGTGGAGAGCTTTGACGCTTCGCTTTAAAAAAAATCTGAGAGCCTTTTATGTTTTTTACGAAGCTTGGAAAGTGACGGTGTCTTATTCTTGAAAAATCTGAAAGCCCTCGCATTAAATTTGGAAAGTTCTTTTGGTACTATACTACTATACTCATGTGAAAATCTGAAAGTTCTATGTATGTTATTTGCAAAATCTGAAAGTTGTAGGTGTGTTATTTTGCAAAAATCTGAAACCTCTTATGTTGCATTTGCAAGTATGAAAAGTTATGGTGCTATACTTATTTGAAAAATCTGAAGCTTTTCATATTCAATTTGGAGAGTTTGGAGGGGATATATGCATGTTGTTTGGGCTGCACTTTGACCCTTTATTGATATTTGGGCTGCACTTGAAGCTCTCTTTAATGGTGTTTGGGCTGCACTTTGAAGCTCCCTTTATTGGTGTTTGGGCTGCACTTTGAAGCTTTCATTAGTGGTGTTTGAGCTGCACTTGAAACACTCTTTACTGGTATGTTTGGGCTGCACTTTGAAGCTCTCTTTAGTGGTCTTTGAGTTGCACTTGAAGCACTCTTTAGTGGTATGTTTAGGCTGCACTTTGAGGCTCTCTTTGGTGATGTTTGGACTACATTTTGAAGCTTTATCTGTTAAAGTTTAAGTTGCATTTTGAAGCCTAATTCGTCATTTTTGAAGCTTTATTCATTAAGGCTTAAGTTTCATTTTGAAGCCTTATTCGTCATTTTTGAATCTTTATTCGTTAAGGCTTAAGTTTCATTTTGAAGCCTTATTCGTCATTTTTGAAGCTTTATTCATTAAAGTTTAAGTTGCATTTTGAAGTCTTATTTGTCATTTTGGAGCTTTATTCGTTAATGTTTAAACTGCATTTTGAGACTTTCTTGTTAAGATTTAAGTTGCATTTTGAGGCTTTTGTACTTCGATTTGAGCACTTTTAAGTGCTGATTTTTTAAGGCATTTACGCACATTTTTTGGGGTTGATTTGATCTTTGTTTTGAAAGAATTTAAACGTCTTTAGGCCGATTCACTTGCGGTTTTGCCCCTTGCTTAGTTGATTTTTTTTAGAGGTGGGTCGGCCTTCCTTTTTTGTTGATTTTTTTACAACGTTTAAGTTAAAAATGAAAATTTCTGATTTAATTATTTTTAGGATTGATTTACGACCTTAAAAAAAATAAAAAAAAAGGAAGGGGAGGGAATAAAAAAAATTGATACTTAGTCCGTTGAGATGATTGAAACCTAAAAGGGAAATAGAGTAGCCAACCATTCACTATTTCTTTTACATAAGAAGAATAAAATTATAATTATGAGAATTGTTGAGATTTGGGCAAAAATAAGAGCTTAAATGATTCAAGAGTTAGGGAAATGAATTGAAAGATCAATAGACCATCAATTAGGACCCTTAAGCATTGGTTAGACTTAAGCTCAATTGTTTTAATTAGGATTGAAACACATTTCACAAATCTTTTTCCCAAAATTATAGGTTTACCCCCTAGGTCTTAAGAGCCGGATAGTGAGCTAAGTTTGATATAAAGATATTCGAGGATTAGTTGGAAACACTTAATTAAGGACATAACACTTTAAAACACTTCAAGCTCAAGTTAAAGTGTAGGCCTCCAAGATTTTAGGTGCACACCCTAGGTGAAAGTTCATCTACCTAATTTTCAAATAGGCACTGAAACTAGGCACGACCCTAATTCAAAAGTTAGTTAAAGCAATAGATAAGTTATGCACTAGGCTGTGGTTCATGACTGATTTAATTAAATCAAAGAATGAAATTCTCTTCATAACTTGAACTAAAATGAAACCCAATGCTTCGGGATTTGAGCTTGAGCTTTACACTCAAATCCTCCTGGAAATTGGGGACATTCTCAATGTCACATATAAATCTCCAACCCTTGGTCCTGTATATGTGACATTGTGTTTTATTTTATTTATTTGTGTTTTTTTCCTACGATTTTTTTCGAGTCTTTGTGGGTCGATTTCAGTTTTCCCAGGGCTTTCCATGTGCTACTCCATCATTCATTATGTTATACATAAACACATGTTTCTCCAACTAGTTGAATTTGTCTATTATACTGTTACCTGCGACGTTGATCCCATTTACAGGTGCAACAATAATAAGAAAAATTAGGTACCCAAAGTTTATAATTCATTTATAGCACTTTGCTGCATTTTCTTATACTGTTTTTTATTTACCGCACCTTATACTGTTTTTATTTACTGTTCTTCCTTATAACATAGTTTGTTTATGCATGTTTTAAGTTAACTACAAAACCTTTAGGATATAGCCTAGTTTAGGAGATATACAGCAGTAAGTCACCAAATAATAATATTGCACATTCACATATAAGACACAAAACTCAAAACTACTACTACATGGGACATGGAGCAATGCTTCGTGGGCAGCACGACGAGGACACACAGAGGAGCAACTTCGAGACGGATCTGCAACATCAAAACAAGTTCATGTCGCCT